TATTGCTTATATTAGACAGATAGGTTTGTCATAATAGTTATAATAAAGATAATTTAAAAAAGTACTTACAAACTAATTCTTTGAGAACCGCGATAAAAACCCTATACTTACATATATCATTCAAATTTACTCATTGCTCATACAACAACAACACATCATAACAATATATATATATATATATATATATTATATATAATGAAGTTGGTTTCAAAAGAAAAAAATTCTTTTTATCTCGAGGATATCGGTTAGAGGAGAAATAATACAAGGAAATCACAGTTCCATTCCTATATTTGAAGACGTTTCGCTTGTGGAGTTCACAAGCTTCATCAGTTCAATCTAAAACATATTACCATAGTGGTAGGCAATAATATACAAAAACATGTAAAAAATAACTTACGAATGGTAAGTGAAGTATAAAAGGTGTTAAACAAACACACCAATCCCTTGGTAACTGTGGTCAATACATTAAAATGTTGTTAAAATCGTAGCTTGAATGTGTCTATGTAGTAGCATTTGTGATATTATAATTCGAAAAAGTTTAATTTACAAAAGAAAGAAAGAATAAAAACTACTACCATGCTCGATAAAAAACACGTCAATACTGCACGTTAAAAACTAACTTACAACCATAAAGTGTAGAAATACATTTAACAAATTAAAAAAAAATTGACTAAAACGCACTGGCACAGAGCTGAATTGTTATATCAAAAAGATCTTATACTTTACTTTAGCTCGCATTTCACTCTAACGAAAATCCAATTGCCGGCATTTTCAATGCAGTAGAATGTGTGGATTTATTAGTTTTGAGTTGATCTAACTTATAGGGGGAGAATGAGACAAGCAGGCGCAATACACAAGTAACGCAAACTTACATATATATATATATATATATAATATATATATTATATATATATATATATATACATGTATATAAACAATGGAGAAAGAAAGAATAAATCTCTAATAGATTATGTTATTCTGAAACAACAAAATACACTTTGGCTTCTTTCAGACGGACGACATTTTGTCGTTGTCGTGCAGTGTCGTGTCGTGAAAAAAAGATTGGTTGCTTTCACACATCATTCAATTTCTGCCGTAGTCGTGCTGTGAACTGTTGTCTTGTATGATGGATGAAAGAAAAAGAAAGCGTTTAATAGTGTTGGCATTATGGCATTCTCGCCGAAAATCTCGAAAAATAAGAAAATATTGGACTCATCCGCTTCTTGAAAATAGGTATTTAGTGGGCGAATTTGTCACATTATTTCAGGATCTGCGAGAAGACAACATAAAATTTTTTAATTACTTTCGAATGTCTGTTGCATGTTTCGATGAATTAAGTATAAAGATACAGGGTGATTTACAGAAACAGGACACCAATATGCGAAATTGCATAACACCAATCGAGATGCTCGCAGTTACTCTAAGGTAAGTAATAATATTCTAATGAATGCATATTATTTTATTCTGTACGAAAAAAAAAAACAAAGAAATATAAACTAGAAATACATAATGCAATTTCGGTATGTACCTAACATTAATCAAACAAATTAATACTGTGTGAGCCGTCAGATGAGACGGTTGAATACGATGGGGAAAATACATTTGTTTCTTCTGTTAATTCAGCGGCAGCGCTATTTTTTCCTGAAGCGTGGCCTGACGGTAGCAAAAGGGTATAAGTTCTTTCAGAATTATTCTGCAGTGCGGGGCTTTGCGAAGATCCTTTTCCATTACGAAAGTTGGATGTTGTTCCATGAGAATCTAATGGTATTGACAGTATTGATGATATTGGCGATATTTGCATTGCTGTATGTTCAGAAGGCAAGTAGTGTAGGCAGAAGGCTAGATTGTGTGGGAACTGCCGCTTGTCCTAAATAAAAGTTGGGATTACCTGCATGCCTTCGATCTGCTGAATTTGAAAAATCGTTTCTCTTTAGAGACTGAATTAATTGTAGTACTCCAATCTGGAATTCACAAATTTGATCGTCGTTGAAATTATTTAAAGAAGGTACTATTCCAGCGAAAAATGCCATATGTCGATCTGTAAAAGTTTGATGTGCTGGTGGTGGAGGTGTTTCCAGTGCTGCAATCATTCGTTCTTCAAATGCAGTCATCCTTTTTTTGGAACCCGATTGTATTTGTGGCTCTTTAAGTTTACGTTTTTTTGTTGTTGGTGTTGTATTATTGTCAACAGACACTTGTTCTTGGTTGACAGTGTCACCTAAACTATTTTCTGTTTTATTTGGATGGGTAGTTTTTTTTTAAATAATAATTGGTCGTAATAAACATATTTCTTCAAGCTATTAGCAGCAGCACCTGAACGCATTGTGTCATTATATTTTTTAAGCCATCTTAAGAAACTGTCCTTTATATTTGTCCATCTCTTTGTAAGTAGTGTACCTGTAAATAAAAGAAAAACATTATTATATAGGTATCACTTAAAAGATATTTTTTAGGTACTTTGCTACCGGATGTTCATTTACCGACCTCCATCACAGATACA